ACCCGTCACCCTCCCCCCGCGTCCCGATATTTGACCTGGGTGATCTGGTCACCCTACTGGGAGCTGAAATTCATAACTTTGCTAGACACTGAAAATCATGGATGGATTAGAGACACTGGATTTATGGCTTATTACAACAGTCTATAACCCACTAACATCCCCCCCCACACACACACACCCAGCTGCTTGCCTCCCCCTTCCTTTTTTATTGTTAGACTTTGTGATTGCACATTATAGGAAATCTGTGGGCCTCTCCTCCCTATTTCCTTGTAATGGAAAAGTTTTGACACCAAATACGTACATAAGAACATAAGAATATTACATAAGGGGAAGCATAGGAAAAAGCACAGAGATGAGCACGGGAAAAGAATAGGAAGGGGGTACTGGGATGGGTGGCAGAAGGAGGGGATTAGAATGGGGACTAAGCAGGGAGGGATGCAGGAGTTTGAAGGCAAAGATGTAATGCTCACTTGATGAGGAAAGTCGAGTTTTTCAGCCTTTTAGTCTATAAAGCAGAAGTTAACAGAGCTCAGACCATGGGTCAAATGTGGTTTATGGAGTTATACAAAATGACCCCAGCTGTTCTTATTCTTAATATGGAGAGGTGACCTGCTGAATAATGCCGCATGCAATGATCCACCTTGAGCCCTTTCTTAGCAATGCCATTAAAATGTAAAAACAGAAGAAGGGGTGTTTTCCCCAGATTTATTTTCTCCTTACTTCATTAACCACTATTACATAGGCAGAGATTCATAGGCCCATGACAGACTGACCACAGTGCACAATCACTCCCTCTTACATTTGCTGATTAAGTGATTTGGCAAAAGAGTCAGAACGTGAATTCTTTTTAAAGATGTTTCCGAGACTAAGTGTCTTCCAACTCAATTCACTCACAGTGGTCCTGAGTGAAGATCTACCAAGTTACACTATAATGGCAATGTTCCAATTATAAGAAGTGTTCATCTGTACAGCTAGAGACACCAGTCTCACTTCTATTGTTACATAATCCATTAGCATAGATTTTTGTCTAAAGTCGCATCCTACTTTGGTGCCAACACGTTTGTTTTAAATCTCAGAAACACGTTGGTTGGATTTTTAAATGCTTAGTGGGAAATAATTGAAAATTAGCATTATTTACAGTGTCCCACTAAAAGACAATGAGTCTTGACCCAAGTTGTATACCATATAATGACCTAAGAGGCAAACTTTTTTAATTGATCTAATTGTGCAATTTTTTGCTCCATCCTGTAAGAGATCTCTACCAAGAGAGACTATGTCTACACTAGCATTTTTGTGGGTATAACACCCCCTCGAGTGACATAAGTTACATCAACAAAAGTGGCAGTGTAGACAGTGCTATGTCAGAGGGAGATACTCTCCTGCCGCCATAGCTACTGTTGCTTAGGTTGACCAGATGTCCCGATTTTATAGGGACAGTCCCACTATTTGGGGCTTTTTTTTTAATTATGGGCTCCTATTACCCCCACCACCACCACCACCTCAGTCCTGATTTTTCACACTTGCTGTCTGATCACCCTACTGCCGTTTATTGGGGGAAGTTTAATTATGCTCCCATTGGCACAGCATGGCTACACGGGAGATCTTATAGAGGCGCAGCTACCTTGGTACAGCTGTGCCACTGTAAACTCTTTAGTGTAGACATGGCCAAAACTTAAAATCACAAGAACGTTCTGCTGCTTTGAAGGTTAACACCACGTAGGGAAAGTCTAATTGTACATTGATTTGATTTTTAATTTTGATTGTTCAGTTATAGCAGAGCATATAAAAGAAGTCTGGATTTTTTTTCTTGGTATCACACCATGATCCAATGTTTCCATATTGATAACCATGGAGAATTTGGATGGGACTAAAGTATGCAAGGTTGTGACCTCATTTATTTTTAACTAATTGAACATGTGAGAATTTGGACAATATACGATCCTATTAATCTGTATTTTGAACAACTTCTGTCATAAGAATCAGCACTGACCTACTCTGTGACTTTAGGCATGTCACTATCACTATGCCTCAATCTTCACATCAGTGAAATGCATAATTCATAAGGGAGGGGGCTTGGCAGGGAATCTTAAAGTAAGCTATGTAAAGTGCTTTCATATCCTTGCATGTAAAGTACAATATATCAGACTGCATTTATAACATACCAAAAATCATTTGCTGTTCTCCATAATCAATGCACAAGAATCCCCTTAAAATGTAAGAACAAAGCACGTAGCAGAAAACGAAACAACACTGAACTTTGCAAGAATGGTTCCAGGTAGTTAAGCAGTTGCAAATGTGGAACCCTAATTGCTCTCATCCTGGGTTTGCCAGTCAAGTGAACTCCTATTGATTGATTGATTTTTTTTTTTAAAAGCTGAATTGTCAAGCATGATTTCTCAAAATCATCCACCTTTTCTTTCCTCTCTTGGTAATAGAGTCTGAAAGATAGAATTGGAGGGGAGAAGAAGTTAACAACCTTGATGATGTTCAAGAACAGCCTATTTGGACAGGAGTCCATACAAAAAGCTTCTAAGAACTCATTGGGCTGGGGAGAGTGCGCTCAGCAATGGTGCCAAGTTGGAGGGAACCTCCTTTACTGCTTGAGTTTGCCACTTGTCGGGCAGTTATTTGAATTTGTTTACCCCATTTTTCAAACTAATTCTTTCTGCTTCTACAAGTTTATGGGATGCGTGGTTGAGATATTGCCATCTCTTTTCTGCTGGTCAGGGTGGTGCATATAAGCTCCTTAGACTTGTTACCTTGTGGTCTTAAATAGAGATTTAAAAGGGATGTTTATAAGTACCATGTCCAGCAACTGCCTGGCTAAGGTGGGAGATGGGTTCATGGAATAAGAAACACAGGCCACTCTGTGTGAGTTGTTGCACGAGGCTTTGTTCCTAATGGCAAGTATCTCTTTGGGGGTTTGGGGGTGCTCTGGACAGTGTTCCAACAGGAAATCCTCACCCTGAGTCAGAGAGTACATTGTAGCATTAAGGAGAACCTTAAAAGTAAAGAGAGTGACTTCTAGGGGAAAATAAATATTTGCAAGGTTACTTGTACATTGTATCCCAGACAGAAATAGTGAGGGCTGAAAGATATCTTACTTCATTGCTTGTTGTAGTAAGCTGCTTTACAATAAAATAGCCACTGAGAGCTAGGACTTGTCCTGGGTATGTTCTTGGGAGTTAGCAGCTCCACATAATGATTGCTCAGAAACTGGTGCCTTTTATACCTAAGCATGTGTTGTGACCTTTGACCCTAGGCATGTGGTGATCTGGGAAAAGTAGTCCTAATACCTGGGTCACTATTTTGCTGTAGGCATCTTTCCTTGTGAGGGAGTAATTTTTAAAGAATGTGAATGTTTTCTCTTAAAATATGGTGATAAATTATCTAGTTAGTTGCATCACATGTGAATCAACCATTGTGGAGTTGTTAAATGAAGAGAAAGATTAGAATTGGTTTCCGTGGGTACTATATATGAACAGCCAGTTACATGGTTACCAGGAAGAGTGTCTTGTTCAATCAGAAAAGGATAAAAGCAGAGCACAGTAGTTTTGCCTAAGCAGGATTTACTGAAACCTGGTATATTAATAGCTGTCATCTTGGAAACCATATTATGGTCAGCTGTGTTTTAGAAGCAACAAAAATAGCTGGATTTTGCAATGTCTTCTTCCAAAGTCACTTAGAGGGTACTACAGAGTTTCCTTACAGAGAGGCCAGGTGCTGCTGGGTTTCTCTTTGACTTTTTGGTTGTATGTGTCACAAATGCAGGTAGAAAGGGCTGAGCTAATAGCATCCCCATTTAAAGTGACTGAATCAGTATCACACCCTGGAAAGGGGAAAAAAGCTGTAGTTTTATTTACAAAATACATAGAGGCAGCAATAAATGACTATTAAGTATGATGTTAACTGCTAATACATCCTGCTACAGCTGTTGATTTTTGTTGTTGTGTGTGTGTGTGTGTGTGTGTGTGTGTGTGTGTGTGTAAAAACTGATCTTTATTTTCCAGAAATATACAAACTTATTCTCTCATTTCTCCATCTTCTTCTTCTACTCCTCTAGTGTACAGGAAGTTGTTACATCTTATCAAAACTTCACCAAGGTGTCCTGACAATGCACCATCTATGTATTCTTCTGTGTTTGCAAGCTGCATGTTCATGTAGCCATCGACAGACACCAGGTAGCCCTTGTACTCCATCCCCCACTTCAGCTTCACCATCACCGGCTTCCCCGTCAGCCCGTTCAGGAAGGGCTTGGGTTTCAGGGGCAAGCTCTTGCAAGCTGGAATAACATCCTGCTCTTCCTACATGAGAGGGTGAAACCGCATGCCCTTGTGTAGCTTGGATATACAAGGGGCTGGAGGAAGCACTGTAACTGACTTGTGCCAAAAGAGAGTAAAGCATAGTGGTGTGATCCTGTTGCTGGTGAGCCAGGGGTGAAAGTAACTTAAAGGACTTACAGGTATGCCGGAGTCCTGAGCAGGGGCATGGCCTCAACCAGAAGAGGCGGGGCCTTTCATGATTTAAAAGCCCTGGGGCTCCGGCTGTGGCTGGGAGCCCCAAGGCCTTTAAATCACCCCAGAGCTACCAGCTGCAGAGGCGGCTGAGAGCCCCGGGGCTCAGGGGCGAATTAAAGGACCCGGGGCTCTGGCCACTGCAGAGCTCTAGGCCCTTTAAATCACCGCAGGAGCCCTGCCGCCACTACCCCGGGGCAGCAGGGCTCCGGCGGTGATTTAAAGGGCCCGGGGCTCCCTGCAGTTGCAGGAGCACCAGGCTCTTTAAATCCCCACCCGAACCTGGCTGCTGGAGCTCCGGCGGTGATTTAAAGGGCCCGGGGTTCCCCACAGCGGCTGGAGCCCTGGGCCCTTTAAATCACCGCCGAAGAAACTGGTCTAATCTGGCTGTACTGGCTTACTTTCTCCTCTGTGGTGAGCCCCCAGTCACTGCCACTATCAACTCCAAATCTGTATGCTCCAAATCCTCAGTCAAAGAATTTAACCTGCAGCTCAAAGAATCAAATCACATTTCCAGGTTTGCTGAGGAACAGTAATGGTATTTTGTGCATTTGGATAGACTAGTATGCATAAATGTCAAACTGCTTGTGTAAATAGGGCTGGATCCTGCAAGGCTCTAACACTCTTACCTTCATCTAGCTAACCATGTGCTTTATCTTGATCACGTGATTAGACCCACTGAAGTCAATGGAACATCGTGATTGCTTAAAGATAATCACTTTCTTGAGTGCTTCACTGACTGTGGGTGAGACTGCTAGCAAAATGTACCCCCCAATCACATGCAAGGTTTTGTGCACCCAAAATAGATGCAGGTATTTTATAGGGGCAAAACACAGGCCCATTGAAATTTGACCCCCAAGCACAACAAGCAGGAAATGTCATTCCCATGTGAGGTCTGAAGATCCAAACTCCAGCTCTGAGGTTAATAATAAAGTTGCTCAGATATGTACTGGTGGCCTCAGAACAAATCATAAAAAGACATTTAAAAACACATCACTACACTGTGCAATCACAGCAGAGAGAAAAAAGTGGCAGTCAGTATGGAAACTGACCTCTTCTCTCCCTCTCAGGGTTTGCTATCCCGGTCAGGTAGAAGGCACTTTAATTTTAAAATGAACGTTCACACTGCCCAAATTTGATGAACCATCCGGGAAGTAGCTGAATTCACTTAGTGTCACTCATTTGTGGGACCCTGACTCAGACAAAAGGCGGGGAAAAAACATATAACAAACCTAGGAAACTCCAGAGTGGGGCATTTTTGTGGTATTTTTTTGGAGGAGAGAGAAGTTAGAGCTTTGAATTCAATCCCTGATTTTGGTTCAGGCCCACTTGTTTTTGTTGTTTCCACTTGAGTAGTTACTATTTGGGTTAACAGTCCACTGGTACTAAGAGGATCAGCTTCACTTGTCCCACATGGCAACAAGGAAATAATAGCAGGCATTAAAGGATTAATCTGTACACAACCAAGATCTTCTCTTTCCCTCATTCTCCAGAATTTCCCTGAGCTTGGACACTGGATCTCTCGTTGCCTTTGTTCAGATGGCCTGACTTGCACTTTCTGCAGCCTTCATAACTGCCTCATTTTCATATTATCACTTATCATCAAAGGTTTGCCACAGCTATGACCTTTTTATTTTTTCCCTGTACAGGGTAAGGAATGTTAAATAGACTTTTTGGTTTAAAAAAAAAAAAAAGTACCAGATCTACTTTAGATTGAAGGTTTCCAACTCTTCAGGGCTGTATTAGTAACTTGCCAGGGGCCAAAAGGCCGTGCTTAATTTGCATCTTTATTTGCATAAATACCATCATCCAAAAATGCACACAGTTACGATATTTGCATTCACTCATCTCTTACAGACTAGATAAATAGAAATGACTTATTGCAATAAAGACCTGCAGTTGATCTGTTTTGTCCTTATGTAACTTGTACAGCGAGATGGATTTTAATGCTCTCCAACTGCAACGGTCACATGTTGTTCATCCCCTTTCTGTACAAGCTCCACTGCATCCAGAGTGTACTGGAACCTCTCAGAACCACTAAGGATACACAAAATATAACTGTGATGCAGAGCCTGGTCTTCTTCTTCTATCTCTCACTATGCATCAGGATATAAACTGGGCAAATTAGCTGGGTGTCACATAGGCCAGGGAACAGGAAGTTCTAGCCTGAGGACATAGGCAAATCCCAGTTCTCAAGAACTACAGGATAGTGTACTTCAGTAGTAATACTGCACCTATGCTGTTGCCAGATACCTACCTCCCAACCATATTGTTTTCCTCTCTGGATTTTGCCAGGTAATCTAACTGTAATGTACTGGAGGAAGAGAGGAGGGAGGGAATTGATGGTTGCCAATGTTTTCAAACAGGGATGCCCAAAATGTATGAATCCATCTTTATAGCCCTAGATAAAAGTGACCCGATTATCGGAGGTTCTGAGCATCCCTCAGTCCCACTGAATGAATGGGAGCTGCTTGTATTCAGCACCATCTATTTCTTACAGTGCATTTGGCACCAATCATGCGCCCCCTGAAGCTCATGGCAAATGACTGATTGCAATGGGCCCAGGACTTTAGAGTGGAGGTTTGAACAGCATACCTCTGAGCCACAATGCCCTATTTCATCTGGCACATAGGAATGTCACAGCTACTCTGTTCTAAGATAATATGTAAAGATAGTGTGATGGCAGAGTCTACAGCACAATAGCATGAAGCAGATCTTGGGAGGTGCATGGGTGAGGTGTCCCTTGTGCACTCCCACCCCCTCCGCCCTTTATGTACTGTAGTGTTTATGATCGTATCAAAGCTCAGAGAGAACTGGCAGCTGTGATTGGAAAAGGGCCATTTGTTAAGTGTCTCTTTGGCTCCAGTATGGGTCCAGCGCAGCCCTTGTTTCTTTCTATGAGAAATTTTCATCTTAATATGACAGTATTTTCCTGATGATGGACAGTGTGTGACTAAGTTCCGTGTTAAACAGATTCCGAGCAGCTGGCTGCCAGCCCTTGGAAATAGGGCAGACTGGGATGACGGCACAATGAGTGCAGTGGTTGTTAAGGAGCAGGCTTATCAGTAAAAGTGAATTTAACCTTGAATTCAGTTAACTGGTCAGCCTGGATTGGAGGAAATTTATTTTGTAATTAGTCAGGTGCTAGTGATCAGATTTCAAAAGACATGGCTGTGTGTGTGTGTGTGTGTGTATGTCCATGATCTCATGTGAGGGGTGAAAGAGCTGTATCTCTCCAGGCTTGTTTACATCCAAGCTGCACCGGTTTCACCACAAGTGTGATTAGTATAGTAGCCCCCATAGATGCTTGTCATAAACCAGAATCCCATTGTGCTAGGTGCTGTACAAACAGACAGCAAGCAGACAACCCCTGTCCTGATGTGTTCACAATCTAAGACCATGGACTGCAGGTGGAGACAGCAAACAGGGAGAGCACAAGGTAACAATGAGGTGATGCTAGTCAGCATGAAAAGCAGTGGGCCCAGAACATTGGCTGCCTTACCATTGGCTAAATTAGCCCCATTTTGTATGCAGACCAGGCTGCAAGCTCTTGGTCAGTGAGTATATGCTGAGAGTAACAGGGAAATGTGGGGTGAGGTGCATCTAGCATGTTGAAGAGAGCACTGGTGTTGGCCTCATGAGACCTGGATTCTATTCCTGGCTCTGCCACTGGCCTGTCAGGTGACCTTAGGCAAGTCACGTTCCCGCTCTGTGCCTCAGTTTCCCCATCTGTAAAATGGGATAACGATATTTCCTTTGTAACGTATGTAGAGATCTACTGATGAAAAACACTATGGAAGAAATAGTGCCTTTATCGCACCTGACTTTGCCAGTGCAGTAGAATAGATGATGCACTGCATGCTGGACATTGGGTTTGGGCTGAGGGCTAGTTGAGGAGAAGTGCAATCTAGATGAGATGCACATGATATCAGTAGTATGGGGAAAAGAACCAGGAAAGGTGGTAAGTACCATATCAGCCCGCCTGTCTGTGGGGGCATTTGGCATGGTTAACAGTGGGGTCTACACAGGTCATGGGTACAGTTAAACCTGAGGGTGTTCTGTAGTCCCTGTAGACAAAAATGACACTTTGGCATGTGTGTCTGATGGCCTGAGGTTTGCCTAGACCTTTTGCATTTCAAGATTAGATAACTACAACAGAATCTCCACCTGGAGGCTACAACTTGGAAACAAGTGAGGCACTTACCCAGCAAAGCAATTAAGCAATTGCTTAAGCCCCTCTGAAGTCAATGGGATTTAGGAATGTACTTTTAGCTAAGCACATGCTGAAGTGCTGTGCTGAATCAGGGCCCTGGCATAGTATGCATCTGTGCCCGTATTAAACACAGTTTTCCACCAACCAACCATAACACTAGCATTACAAGAGCTGCACTGGATTTCTGAGTGAACTCAGTGCTTGTTTTGACTATTGAATCCCCAAATGGTTTACAAGCTGGTGTCCTGAGAGTCTCTCTCTCTCCACATGCCATGCTGGTCACAAGTGAGTTCGGTGCAAAAGCCGGCTAATAATGGGCTGCTGTCAGAGCATTGTCCAGGAAGTCTTGCATTTGGAATTTGCTCTTCCAGAACCCACATCTGTTAAGATGGACCTTGCAGCATGTCCAGATGCTTTTTCCCAGGGACTGGGGGAGGAGGGTATTTGAAGAAAGGAAAGCTTCACAGATAGAACAGTCTGAGTTTTCTCTGTTATTGGGGAATTGGTTATTTGGTGGACGGGACCAGTTTATTGTTAGTTATTATATAGCATCACTGAATGGCTCTACTGCAATCACAGGCTTTGATTCCCGCTCATGTAGACATACTTTTAATCTGGCTAGCTTTGGGACCGGAGCAGTGAAGCTGTGCCAGCAGGCATGGGCTAGCCTTGCTGGTAATTACTGAAGGTTCTGGGTGGGCTTGTCCAGACCATGGTGGAGGCCATACTGCTGCTGCTTCACTGCTTCAGGACTGGAGCTGGCTAGATTAAAGCTAGTTTGGGTACATCTACACAAACTGCAATCACCCCCTGGGCATGCCGTGTACATATACCCTGAGATGGTCACCTGAGATGGTCACCTCACATGTTTGTAAGAGAGCTCACAGTATGAGATGGGAGCCAGACACTCATGTGATCTGTGTGACATGTTTCAGAAGTGTAAATCAATACATACAAGATGGCTTTCTGTACATTTGATCAGATGAAAGCAATAGAGTTTTATTGAGAATAAAAACTTATTGGATTTTTTTACCAGTATTTTAGAATTTCACAGAAAATGAGATCCATGCAATAGGTCTTTATTTTAAAATCAGCCTATAGAATTCTATAACAAGGATACAAATCTCTATTCACTTTATATAGACTAGTCTTAAAAAAGCCTATGGAAAGGTTTCCATTTTCTGTATTACTCTAGGGAGAGAGTCTCACGTAAGCATACGGGGTCGGATTGGGAGGTAAAGAGCCTGCAGATTGGGCCAGGGGAGAATCTACTCTGTGTGGGAACCAAGGACTGCAGCCTGCCTTGACATAGGCAGAGTCCAAAGTCTGAGCCAGCTATGGTGATTCTCAGTTGTTGAAAGCTGCAGAGCAGCCCATGGAGGGAGGGAACAGCACTAATTAGAACAGCTCTCAGAGCAGCCTAGTTTACTATGGGGGGCTGCTCTGACCCCTGGAGCAGCCCAGAAGTGGGTGGCAGAGAAGTGACTTAAAGCCACCTTGACCCTTCCTTCTCTTCAGCTGTGAGTTCTGGACTGTGCATTTTGATGGTTGACAGCACAGAGATTTCAGCTTTGGATCCCACGACTATACCTACAATTGAAACACTGCCCTTGTGCGGTGTAATACCAGCCAAAGGAGTTTAACAGCCAGAATAATGGCCTGAGTCCTGTTAGAAAATGACCACTAACATTTCTGTACTAGCAGGCCCCAACTTGATGGGGAACCTGGGATATTGCTCCACCTTTTTGAACTTTTTTTTATCATGTTTGCATTCTTAGCACTGCTTCCATAAATCATTTAATGGCTGACCTAGTCATAGGAAAATGTACAGCTAAATCATAAACGAATGCTCCCCCATCTCATTGGAGGAAAACGTAGAAATTAGCCCAGTTTGCATGCAAGTCTGCATACATATACATCTTGGCATGAATTAGGGAACAATAAGCTGTTTATGTCAGAACACTTGATTCAAAGAACAGCATAAAAAAGCTATTGATACATAAGGTATTATCTTACCAGAGTCTGCACAGTTGGTTAATCAGATGGCTCCCTCATGTGCCTTCAGAGAGTGTGCGACACTTTGCAGCAGAAAACCCAAATCTCTCCAAAGGCTTTGGCGAGAAATGAATGTAACGTTTTGTATCTCTTATTGTTCTGCATTCAGAGTGCCATGGCTAGAGTGGATTGCTATATCAGTGGCCATGCACTGTGAGAGGGATGGATCTAGCCATATATTGAAGCTGTGCACCAAGTTAACATGAAGTAATGTCCGGGAGACATTTGTTGAGTCAAAGAAAGGGTTTCCCTTATGGCACAATTACTGTTCCTGAATATCTTTAGCTTATTGCTGTCAGCGTGAAGTTGCCAGAAAGCTTATGTCATTACAGCAAGGAGCAGATTGTTTCTACTGCTGGTGGGTTAGCTACTGTCTTGACATCCTATGAAGAAGAGAAACTGCTGGTCTTGCTGACACTGACAGTCACCAAACCAGATTCTCAAGTGCAAAGAACCATCCCCATAGTATGGCATGCAGTTACAGCAGCTCTGCTGACTATTATAGACTGAAACTACCAGCAACCCCAAATGTGAGCTCTGTTTACTGCTTAAGACAATTCATTGAGGATTTGACCTCAACATCTGAGTATTGGCTGCTCGACCTATATGCAATGTGTTGTAGCCATGTTGGTCCCAGGATATTAGAGAGACAAGGTGGGTGAGGCAATATCTTTTATTGGAACAACTTGTGTTAGTGAGAGAGACAAACTTTCAAGCTAGACAAAGTTTTCTTCAGGTCTGGAAAAGGTACTCCCATTGTCACAGCAAAATGCAAGATGAGTCTTTTGGAAGTTGCCACAGCTCCATTGGAGGAACAGAGATCCCTGTCTGGAGATGGTTCCTGCAAGAAGGCAGGAGAGATTTTTTTGGCTGGGAAGAATTGAATGAGACGATCTGATTATGGTTCAGGGCAGTGACCTAACCGTAGATTAAGGAGAGAAAGACTACTCTGACTTTTTCATTGTGTTGCTTGAAAGCATATCGGCCATTTGAGGGATTTGGATGGCTTGACACTGTCTTCATTATCTGCCCTGTGAGTTGTGTGCTCTGTAAAATAAAAAACATAAAACATGAAATTCAGGCAACTTCCCTAGCAGAGGGAACTCTGCCATCCTGCAGTCAGTCAGCTCCCTTCAAAACACCTTTTGGACTCTTCACAAGTGACCTGCAGGTGCGGGAATAGGAATTGAGGACCACTTACCAGCCTTTCAGAGCCTTGGTCAGGTTGGGGAATGGGCATTCATACTGGTCTGTATATGTTCATATTACGAAACAATTTGTATTTAGAACACGTACCAAGTAGTTTTGTTTATGTAGTTTGTGGAAACTATTTGCCTAGGATTTATAGAGAGTTTTTTATCTCCGAGTATCCCCAAAATATTACTGTGTAAGCTGACAGTGATGATTCTACAAATGGTACTGCAGAGTTTCTTGCACCATCCTCTGAAGCATTTGGCATTAGCCACGGTCAGAGACAGGATACCAGACTGACTGGACCATTGGTCTGATCCTGTCTGGCAATTCCTATATTTCTATGACATTCAAGTAATTCATATTCCTCACCTCATCTGCCATCTCATCAGCCATTAAACAGCACAAAGCAATGCTGCCTGCCATTTTAGAACAGGAAGTTAGGAAGAATATTGTATCCATTTGAATGTGCAGGCTGAATGTAGGTAGCTAGGATGCAGTTCAGTGAGCTGGAATTGGGCCAGGATGTTCTGGTTAATAACTCCACTCTAAGTGCCACAGGATTTTTAATTGACCAAGAGCAGGGCCGGCGGGGGGGGGGATTTGCCCCAGGCCTCCGGGCCCCACAGGGGCCCCCACGAGAATATAGTATTCTATAGTATTGCAACTTTTTTTTATGGAAGGGGCCCCCGAAATTGCTTTGCCCCAGGCCCCCTGAATTCTCTGGGCGGCCCTGACCGAGAGTGATCAGGAGTGTAGTTTTACGTCTCTTCTAACAGAGGTCACCTCCAACAGTCTAAAATATCATCCTCCAACACTCACACACTGACATTTTTGACTTGGAGAGAAAAGTATCACCTACTGACTCACCATTGTCACTTCCTATGGCATCTTTTCTCAAGTCTGTACTACAAGCATGGTTCCATCCCACTCCTACTTGGGCATGTCTACACTATGGAGACTGTACTGGCATAGCTATGTTGCCTCAGCTATGCTGGCATAACCCCATAGTATAGACGCAGCCTACCCACTTATCTCTCAGTACAGGAATACCACCTCTCTGAACAACAATAGCTACAGTGAAGGAAACACTTGTATGTCAACTTACTCCCCCAGGACAGCCACAGCCAAGTTGGCATAGTTATGTCAATCAGGAGTCTGGTTTTTCCATATCCCGACTGATGTAGCAGTGTAGACAGTGAAATCTCTTGTGATTATAGCATATGATGTAGAAACCCTGAAGGAAGTGTAGATGGTATGGTCCATTATGGTTTGGAAAGTAATAAATGAATAATAATTTATTAAACAATAACTTGCTCTGGAGGTACAATCTGATGAGCAGCTAAAAGAACCAATTAAGGCTTTAAAGCGACAGGTCCAACAGTAATGGGTGATTTGAACAGATTGCAAGTAAATTTTATATGCTAGCTCCAATAATAAGGTTACAGTTTTGAGTCTGCATAGCTCTGCTTCCTTATACTTCCTTACACTTGCCTGTCTTCACAAGAATTTGCTTTGAATAGCTCATAACAGAACACTTTAGCAACAGTGAACTTCCATAGATCCAACTTCCATAGTTAGATCTAACATTAGGAGATAAATGAGACCAAGCAGAGGCTCTGAAAAGAAACTGGGAAACAATTTCAGGACGTTGTAATTTGGAAGAATGTAGGAATCCTGGAATAAATCAAACGAGGGAAAGTGCGCTTAACTTCTGCTTTCCGTGACAACAGTGCTGCGACATAAATAACCTTGACTGTTACACTTAAAAATCAGCTTGGCTCATACTGCTCAGCCGCAGCAATAAGAACATTTTAAACAATAGTGATAGCCAATTGGTTTTGATGTTAAAAGTAATAATAACTGTGAGAGCCAGATTTTTAAACCATGGGTTTTTCCTTCTTTTTCCCCCCTGCAAAGTTCGCTTGAGTTACATCTCTGCCTGATTATGTGGACACAGTAAGAATACTGGGTATCTGACATCAGTTGCAGGCACAAAATTATGTCTGCAGCTGTGGATGTAGTCACAGGTGTAATGCAATCCAATGGGTGGAAGCTGAAGATAGACAAATTCAGGCTGGAAATAAGGTGTAAATTCTTAATTGGGAAAATAATTAACCACTGGAACAATTTACGAATGGTCATGCTGGAGTCTCCATTGCTGACAATTTTGAAATTAAGATTGGATTATTTTCTAGAAGATCTGCTCTAGGAATTATTTTGGCAAAGTTCCTGGACTATGATATACAGGGGGTCAGACTAGGTGATCACAGTGGTCCCTTCTGGCATTGGAATCTATGAATCTACAAAAACTGCTCGAATAAAAAAAGGAGGTTGGGTTGGAAATCAGACCCTGTTAAGACAAAATGGTGTTATTAATGTGTACAAGTCTACATAACCATCCCACAACTAGCGTAAAACTCTATAGAGATCCAGTAATGTTCTGTCTGCAAAATGTAAAATCAACTTTCTTGCTTTCCCTGTGGAAAGTGTAATGTATAGCAATAGACTTTAAAGGGCAACAGGCTACAAAATGTGCTAATTGGAAGGTTAGCCCAGACAGACAGTGATTATCTGGGCAGAGAAAGCTGCCCAGTAAGATAGAGAGGCATCTGAGAGTGTAAACTAAGACTCTTCTAAAATGAAATCGTGAAAATCATCCAGCTGTGAATCCAGGCAATCACTGCCTCAGGGCCCAGTCCAACAAACTGCTATTCATAGGTGGAGCTCCATTGAAGTCAATGCATTTCCATGCAGGCTCTTGGGCCTGCCTTCATGGAGTAGTTTGCAGGGCAGTAACTGGTCAACCTTGGCCTGATCTTTCCAGGACCGGAGCGTCCCCATTTCCATAACAGGAGTTAGGGGCATGTGGCACGTCATAGGATCACTGCCCTGCATGAGAGAATATTTTCCCAGGAATCTTTAACAAAGGAATGACCAGCAGTCACACATGGAATAGAATAAGTGGCCCTTCTAGCAAAATAGGTGATGAGCAGCATTGCTAAGTCTCTGTTAGAAGCCAGGACTAGTACCACCTGAAGTGGATGAGGTTCAAAGAATTGTGCTGCTGTTTAAAGCAATAAAGAGAATTAAATTCCATACTCTGAAAATCTGCATTACTGAGTGGTCCAGGATTTACCACTATGTCTTGTGCAACTAGATCAGGCAAGTGGTGCTTTCATATTGTTCTATTTTTTGTTTTAAATAAAGGATAAGGAATAGTTTGTAGGTTGCAAGGCAGATCAGACATTCCAGCAAATGCAAATTTGGGGAAATATTCAGGAAAGGAACTTCTGTGGGTTTGTTGTTGTTGTAGGCAACTGGCTATTACCACACACTGTCCTGGGTCACAGAACTAACTAGATACGTTGAGACTGCAGATGCAGAATTATTATTGCAAGATCACCAAGATACACCTCTAACTCGATATAACGCTGTCCTCGGGAGCCAAAAAATCTTACTGGGTTATAGGTGAAACTGCGTTATATTGAACTTGCTTTGATCCGCCGGAGTGCCCAGCCCCACCCCCCCGGAGCACTGCTTTACCGCGTTATATCCGAATTCATGTTATATCAGGTCGCGTTATATCGAGGTAGCGGTGTACTATGGCTATTAGTACATTATAAATGCATTAGACAGATAGTCAGCACTGAGGGCCTCCTGAGAGGTTTCATTAGTAGCTGAGGGCCCTCAGCACCTTGTGTGATTGGACCTATGGTGTGTACAGGAAAATTTGCTGTGTCTGTCCATGTAGGAGGTGGAGCTAACAACATCCCAGTTTACTGGGTTGTGGTGGGTGCCAGTTATGATATTGGATTTGGAAGCAGAACTTCCAATACTATAGTAATACAGACTCTTTCAATGATATTTAAGAACAGTGTCTGAGGTAACCAGCATCACACAACATGCCATTATTTGTACTTACAGCAACAAGTCTGTGAAGGGCCTGGGAAGAACTGAAAAGTATCACACAGGCTCCCTTCAGCCACCTTCAGCTCCCATTGAAAGAAGTGCAAGGATGTTTATAAACTGTCAGGTGCAAGCAATGCTGCTGGTTGTAATAGGTAGGGGGAAGAAGTCAATTATATTTGTAACACAGAAATGTTTGTCACATGAAACTTCGAAGAAATCATTGAATAAACTGTTAGACAATTGGAAATGTCATAACGTATCCCATCCATAGAAAAATGCTACACAGTGTAATTCTGAATACTTTTGCCCTATTGCTCTTTGCTGGTGACCTGAATGTTTGCAGAGCTGAAAATCTATGATCCTTTTCTGGTACTTACACTGCACTGTCAATGTCTCCTTTAAACAGAGTAGTTCTTAAGCTTCTACCCATTTTGTGTGTAATGAAAAGCAATGCATTCTGCAGCATGTCCTACAGGTAAATGCAAATCTTAAACATTCACTTGAGAGCCCTCATTCAGCAGAAGTTTACTTCAATTGGCCTATCGTTTACTTCAATTGGCCTTTCCTTAGCTTTGTTAGGGATATTACATTCTTGGACACTTGAGCATTGCATTGAAGGACAGATATGGATAGAACCCACGGCCTCTGCAGTGGATTTTTCTGCCATGTTGCATGTTGTCTTGCAATTAAAAAAAAAAAATGTATCCAGGAGGAGTGAAAGGGGGTCCCCTAACATATTAGAAAAGCTATTTAAAATTAATGAGGCACATATTTGCCAAATTATTTATTAGGCATTCTAGATGTAGTCCAGAGTATGGCAACACAAATTCCAAAAGTCTCTCATTGTTTCTAGAAATCAACTATAAATGCCAGTTTCCAAATAGTCATTACACTGGAAGTTCACAACCTCATTTGTCTCTCCACTTCCCTACAGAGAGTGTGTGGCCAACATCTTTAAGCACTGATCACTTCCAGTCATTACAGGGGAAAGGCCAAAAATCACACAAGCATTTGCCGAGCAAAAAAACCTCTAAGGTCCTAATCTGTATATTTGTGCCAGATTTTGTAGTCTTTACTCAAAACCGTCATGGGACAATCTGACCTACAAAGAACTGATGTGTCCCAAATCATAAAACCAAGTAGCAGGATTCTTCTCTCATTAGCATTAAAAGTTACCCTCATGATTATGCAAAACATTACCTCCAATAAAGCAAATATCAGTATAAAATGATCCTTGCCAACTCCAGCTAAAAGCTCCACAACAAACTTAGTACTTTAAATAACAAATAAGCAACACACAATAAATTGCCACTTTGAATACATTTTCCCAATATTGAGATCAGCAGTAGTTTTGGATGGCTTGACGACGACTACTAATACTACTACTTGATTTCGTCATAGGCAATTTAAGAAGTCTTTGTTAGTAAAGAATATCACAGCTCTATCCTCTGGAGCCTCCAGTCATCAGCTATCTTCCATCATCTGGCTGATGAACCAAGTTTGGCTGGACAGAGAAGTGCACCTTCACAGTGACTTTTATATATGGAGATATACCCATCTCATAGAGCTGGAAGGGACCTCAAAAGGTCATCGAGTCCAGCCCCCTGCCTTCACTAGCAGCACCAAGTACTGATTTTGCCCCAGATCCCTAAGTGGCCCCCTCAAGGATTGAACTCACAACCCTGGATTTAGCAGGCCAATGCTCAAACCACTGAGCTATCCCTCCCCCTTTTGCTGCTTAACTCTGGCAAATGTTGAAAATTTTATATATATATATATATATATATATATAAATATGAGAGAGAGAGA